AAATTGACTCAAATGTCAAGAATAAATTCCGATTGGACTGGTTTGACAGAAAAGTCACTGTAAAGGTTAAAATTGGTTTAAGTTCGACGAAGTTACAGAAGCTCTTGGACAATTTTTGAAGAAACCAGACGTAGCAGGCAAAGCTTATTGTGTGTATTGTAGTGACTTAATTAACTATGGCAACCGTGGATGCGTGGCACTGACAGATCATGCAACAAAAGTGAAAAAACATGCCGACAAAATCGCCATTCGACGGAGCAATTATTCTTTGGGATCGGCATTTTTCAAACAAACTTCGTCAGCGGATACAACTAAAGACGTTACGCGCTGGGGTACTTACTTTGGCTGAACCAAGCAACGAAATCTGCTCCACTGACGCCCCTCGCCGATAGACAGGTACACTCCGAGGTATATACTTTTTTATTAAAATATACGAGGATGATATTTTCAATTTTATTTGGTATGCATTTGTAGCAACAGCATGATAACATTTATTTGTTTTTATTTGCGTTTTATATTCATATTGATAATTCACGATTTGTCTTGGATCATAAAGCACGGTTATGCATAATAAATTGTATGCATAATATTCACTATCACTGTATGAGGTAAGAATCAACAGTTTTTTATCACATTTACACAACACTTTATGAATACAAGTCATGAACAAATCTTAAATATGGCAGGGAATGTGTTTACTTTTTTAGTTTTGATTTTGAGCAGCAAATTTGGAGTTACATATTGGTGCTCACTAGGAATGCATAAGCAAAATTGCACAAATTTTCACTTGAAAGAATAGTGAACAATCTTGGGATTTTTTTTCTGTTAAAGTTTCAAATGGTGTGTAAATTGAATACACTTCATCTTCAGCATGTTTAGTGCCACTTTTGTAAGTAACCACGCCCCCGGCTAGGCCACGCCCCGGCCAGGCCACGCCCCTTCCGCTTTTTTCATCACTCGCCATTGCCATGTATGAAGAACACAGATGCTGGTCTTCCCTTTGGACTGATTAATTTAGTTGTGGTCAGTAATACTGTAATAAAAACAAGTTATCCTCATGCATTGCATCCATTGAGTGTGTATATAAACGTGAAACTGAATTAACATTGACGACTGTATTGAGTAGTCAAGTTCGGAAATATCATAATCAACATTCCCATGAAACTTATATTCGTCATAGTTAGCATACTACGTGTTTAGTTGAACACACTAGCAGGAGCTGAAAAAAAGACAAAAATAGATCTTAAATCCAAATTTTTGGACCAATCGTGGTTTGGAATCACTGGGTGAAGTGATATATTGTTCTCCTGTAGCATCACTAATCCACTCTGACAAGCTCTTCTATAGAATGAGATCTACTGCATAACCATTGTCTCTGAGAGTTTGTCATTCGAAATCATTGCTCCACTTAGTTTCTTGGAGAGTTGGCACTCCATTGTGTGTCGTAGCTCTATGCATTAAAAGTCGAAAGCCATTGAATTCACTCCTTACATTCACCAGTTCCTTAGTACCAGGTAATTAGAGCCACTAATTGGTCTCTTTTTTTACTCAGAGACGAGAAGGTAATCAGTTTGTGCCGCGTGGTTAAGCCTTGAATATGTTCTGCTTCAGGGTCAAAGCCCTCGTTACGTGTCCAGAACGTCTCTCGGGCCCAAGCCGTTTTTCAAGAGAAGTAATGCTTCTTAATGGAGGTGTTATCCGATAGGCGATAGCATCGGCGCTTCAGGGGATGATGCATTAAAAATACAGCGACGTCATTACTTTTTGCAGCGGCCAGACATATTCATCATATTCATTCTTTGTGTAGCAAAGTTACATTATAATGTTGCTTGCTGTTTGTATGTGTGATGAAACCAAACTCTCGCTCATGGGCAAGGAGAAATATGACTCAAAACTTTTACCCGGCTGTAAATTGTATTTATTCTGTATTTTTAAAAAACCTTCACTGTCGCACTCAATTGTGCTCTGAAATGTGAATTTGAAAATTCTTCATACTATGGGACGCATATTAATCACATCATCTTGCCAACTACAACAGCGTGTGTGTGTGTGTGTGTGTGTGTGTGTGTGTGTGTGTGTGTGTGTGTGTGTGTGTGTGTGTTTTTGCGTTTTCGCGTGCTCCGATTCTTATAT